CCAGATCTGTTGCATAGGTGTCGTCCTGAGACTTCCCTTTACATCTTTCCTATGGATCTCCTGTTCATAACTCCTCCTGAAAAAGGGGTACTTGGGAAGTAAATCTTTTGAAATCTTGTGTATTTGGAAATATATATATGTTTATTTCATTCTTTATACTTAATGATAGTTTGGTTGGGAATTGAGTTCTAAGTTGGAAATCATTTTCCCTCAGAGTTTTAAGCATTACTCTGTTGTCTCTTCTGGAGTCCAGCGTTGCTATGGAAAGAGTGCCATGCTGACTCAAAGACCTTTGACCCTGAACTGGATCTTCTCCATAGTCCTTGGTGATCTTCTTTGTATCCCTGGTATTCTGAATTTCAGAATGTTGGTCTCTTCATTCATTTTGCTAGGCACTCAGTGGATCCTTTCCATCCGACAGTTCATGTTCTTCAGTGCTGGGAACATCAGTTATTTCTTTAATTTTCTCTTTCTGTATTCCCTGTTCTCCTTTTCTGGAACATGTATTTGTGATTTGGGTTTGTATAATTTTCTATCTCTTTCTACCTATTTTCCCATTTTTAACATTTTTGTTCTACCTTCTGTATCTTCAGATTTATCTTATAACTTTTATTTTTTGTTTACACTATCATATTTTTTATTTCTTGTTTCATAAAGTAATATTTCCTGTCTCCTAAGCCAGTTAGTTACCACATATAGGCTCCAGACAACTAATGACAGCACAAAATAGGCTCTGATTAGATGCTGAAATGTTTGGTACTATGCTGGGGATAGAAGGGTCTAAGAAAACAACTATCTGCCAGAAAAACTTGGAACAATTTCATGGAAGGAGTAAGACAGGATCTGGACTTGGAATATAGGTAGGTAAGTTTGGATAGGTAAGGAATGGCAGTGTTAAATGGTGGAAAAAGTGTTGGCTTTGGAAGCAGGCCCAACTGAGTCACGGTGAAACCTCGTATAAGTCCAACCTCTCTGTGCCTTAGTTTCCTCATCTTTAATGGGACTGATAACATCTTCCCTCTAGAGTTGCTGTAAAGAAAGAAGTTGAATATGTAGAGTATCTGGCACATAGTTGGAATTTAATAAATATTCTTTATTTTGTAAATTCCTTGAGGCTGAAAAGCATCTTCTCTAGACACAATTCCTGGCATAGTGCTTGCCACATAGTGGAGTCTTACTATAGATAATGAATGAAAGTGAATGAGTAGATGAGTGAGTGAGAAGGGAGAGCATTCCAGGCAGTGGGGAGTAATAGAATAGCAGCAGCGAAGTTGGAAATGAGCTGTTGTAGGGGAATGGACTTGTAAGACCTCAGCCTGACTCAACAGATTTATGTATTGACAAATATTAATGGAAATATGTCTGGAAAGTCGGGCTAGTATTTTTTGGAGGAGTCAGGGCTGAGGAGGGTTGATGGAGGAAGTGTTGGGCCAGTATTAAGGTGTTTTAATTAATGACCAAATCAGGGGTGGAGAATGTCTGGCTCAAGTTAGACCAACTGGTCTAATGCCATTTTTCAACATGAACATTTGGGCAAGGGATTTAAGTTCTCTGAACTTGTAGGAAAATGACTCCTGCTCTGTCTACAGCAGAAGGTAGTAATAATAAAGATCAAATACACCATTAGAAGTATGCGTGCTTTATAAGTTTGCGGCAGTTTCATAGACTCAGGAAGCAGGTACAGAGACAAACCCTATTTATGCATGTAACTATAAAACCAACGTGGCTTTAAGTTTTTGGAAGCAATAAACTAATACGCCATATTGTGGTATGCTTCACCAATAAAATTATTTCTTATCTTGCCCTTTGCTTTAATTTGGCTATATATAGTTTTCCTTTTTACTTATTTTAATGCCTAGACCTATACTGTCTAATCCAGTAGCTACTAGCTACATTAAATTTAATTAAAATTAAATAAAATTTAAAATTCAGTTTCTCAGTTCCATTAGCCACAGGTTAAGTGCTCAGTAGTTAGTAGCTACCATATTAGACAGCACAGGTATAGAACATTTCCATCATACAGAAAGTTCTGTTGGAAAGCACTGGGTTAGACTATATAGAATTGCAGTGTGTGTGTGTGTGTGTGTGTGTGTGTGTGTGTGCGCGCGCGCACGCATGCATTTAAACTATGTATTTGTTTTATCCTCTGACTTTAATTTATAAGCCAGATAAGTGAACCTTGTTTCTTTAAAAACATGAAGCTGTTTTTCACTTAAATGGGCCTCCTACATCAGTGGCTTTCTATTGAGAACAGGTTCTGCAACCTGACTGAAGTTAATGGATATTCTTAATTAATGATATGATAGGATATAAAAGATTGAGTGATTCAAAGAGCTTCGAGTCTGATTGGAAATGTAACGTATTTTGCCGTTGTATTTTGCCAGATGTCATTTCAAGAATGTCTTGTCTTTTAAGATGCTAAAGAAAACCCTTATGGCGAGGATGACAATAAGAGCCCATTCCCCCTGCAGCCCAAAAACAAGCGCAGTTATGCCCAGAATGTGACTGTCTGGATCAAACCCAGTGGCCTGCAGGTAACATTACCATTTACGTTGCTTTCCACTGGGGGACAGGAGGAGGCATTTGGGTAGGCGGGCAGGCAGACTTTTTATTTGATTTTCTGTCCTTTGATACTTAGTAATTCATTTACTTCTAATGTTTGTCATTATTTCCAAAAGGGATTTGAGATGCCCTACAGCAAAACATGCATATAGCAAAATCATTTTTTACAAAATGTAGAGCATTAAGAATCCTAGAGAAAGAAGGAAGACAATTGTGCTGGGAACCCAAGGCAAAGTGATAATTTTACGTGAGCGTTTTGGCCCTGAACTTCCTACTACCAAAGTCAAAAAAGAAACATGTTGGGTTATATAGTTGTTCTTGTCTGAAAAAAGGAAATTTGCCAGTTTGTCTAGAGAGACATATATTTTCCTGGCACTGAATTTTAGTGTGAAATTTTTCATATGGTGAGACATTGAATAACATAATGGGTATTGTCTTTAACAACAGTTTTGGAAGAGATGTAAAGGTCTTCATCTCGGTATTTCTTCCATCCCTTCAGTAGAACCCAAACCAAAGCGTTACATTTCACAAAAACACTTTCATAGGAAGCTGTGATAACACCGTTATCAAGGAATGATGCTTTCAGACAAGGCATTCAGGAACACTTCCCCTTTCATCAACAAAAAGTCATTTATACCTGTTTTAAAAATTATTTATTGAAACTTTTTTCTGCTTTGAGCACCTTTATTTATGTTCGTTCCTCCAGTAAGTTCAGCCTAAACCAAATGAGAAGAGACAAGCCACTTGGACAACAAAAGTAGCTTCTGTTGACTGCACAGTGTCTGAGCCCCCTTTCCACCGAGACTTAACCACACCCTGCCAAGGCACATGTCAGGGGCCTCTTTGTTGGAAAATTAGGTCTTCTACTTTCCTGATGTCCCTGACCCCAGCCCTTCCTTGTCAGAGGGATATTAGAACCACTTTCACCACCAGTTATAGCTAAGTTTTTCTTAAATTATAAAAAAATTTTTTTGTTTGAATCTTGACTACTGTAGAAAAATTTTTTTTTGTTCCTGGGTTTATTTTTCTTATTTTGGTAAAATATACATAACATAAAATGTACCTTCAACCATTTCAAGGTACACAATTCAGTGCCATTTAGTACATTCACAATGTACCATCACCCCTATCTAGTTCCAGAACATTTTATTTTATTTTATTTTATTTATTTATTTATTTATTTTTGAGACGTAGTTTCGCTCTTGTTACCCAGGCTGGAGTGCAATGGCACGATCTCGGCTCACCGCAACCTCCGCCTCCTGGGTTCAGGCAATTCTCCTGCGCCAGCCTCCTGAGTAGCTGGGATTACAGGCACGTGCCACCATGCCCAGCTAATTTTTTGTAGTTTTAGTAGAGACGGGGTTTCACCATGTTGACCAGGATGGTCTCGATCTCTTGACCTCGTGATCCACCCGCCTCGGCCTCCCAAAGTGCTGGGATTACAGGCATGAGCCACCGCGCCCGGCCAATTCCAGAACATTTTAATCATTTCAAAAGGAAACCCTGTACCCATTAGAAAAGTCACTCCACATTCCTCCCTTCTTCCAGGCCCTGGCAACTACTAATTTGCTTTCTGTCTCTATGGACTTGCCTATTCTAGATATTTCATATAAACAGAATCATACAATTTGTGGCCTTTTGTGTCTGACTTCTTAGGCTTAGCATAATGTTTTCAAGGTTAATTAGCGTTGTGGTATGTATCAGTGCTTCGTCCCTTTTTATGGCTAATATTTCATGTCTGTATGTATGTGTCACATTTTAATTATCCAGTTGATGGACATAAGGTTACTATTTAGCTATTATTGTGTGTAATGCTGTTATGAACATTCATATAATGGACATAAGGTTACCATTTAGCTATTATTGTGTGTAATGCTGTTATGAACATTCATATATAAGTTTTTGTCTGAATATTTTTTTTGAATACTCTTGGGTATGTATATATTTAGTAATGGGAATGGGATTGCTGGGTCAGACGGCAATTCTGTTTAGCTTATTGAAGAATTGACCCACTCTTTCATAGCAGCTGCCCATTTTGCATTCCTGCCAACAGTGTATAAGTGTTCCAGTTTCCCCGTGTTCCTGCCCATGCTAGCTTTCCATTCATTATTACTACTATCATGCAGCTGTCATAGTGGGTGTGAAGTGGTCTGTCTTTGTGTTTTTTCATTTCTTTAATAACTAGTAATGTGTATCTTTTCCCGTGCTTATTGACCATTTGTGTATATTATTTGGAGACGTATATTATTTCAAGTTCTTTGTCCATTTTTTAATTGGGTTTGTCTTTTTGTTGTTGAGGTTTTTTTTTTTTTTAAATATATTCTGGATAGTAAGACCCTTAGCAGATACAAGGTTTGCAAATATCTCCTCCCGTTTTGTGAGTTATCTTTTCACTCTCTTTATAGTGTCCTTTGATAGAGTTTTTTGTTTTGATGAAGTCACATTTTGCTTTTTGCTTTTGTTGTTTGTGGTTTTTGCTATCTTAACTAAGAGATCATGGCCAAATCCAAAGTCATGAAGATTTACCCCGTTTCCTTTTTCTTCTCCCCTGCCCCCCACTTGAGAAATGCATCTCATTATGTTGCGCAGGTTGGTCTCAAACTTCTGGCCTCAAGCAATCCTCCTGAGGGATTACAGGGGCACACCACTGCACCTGGTTCCTGTTTTCTTCTGAGTTTCATAGTTTTAGCTCTTACCTGTAGGTCTCTAATCCTTTTTGAGTTAATTTTTTGTATATGGTATGATGTAAGGGTCCAAATTTGTTCTTTTGCATGTGGATATCCAGCTGTCTCAGCACCAAATGTTGAAAAGACTGTTTTTTCCCCGTTGAATGGTCTTTGCAAACAAGCCCCTGGCCATAGTTGTATGGGTTTACTGGGTGCCGTTTTGTGAGGCAAGTGCATTTCTGTGAGGGGATTTCTTTTATTGTCAAGACTTTTGAAGGAGGGAGTGCCTTACTAATGTCGACCTGACGTTAACTCAAAAGGGGTCCTCATCTTGACATTGTAGCTCTGCTCTCATTTTCATTTCTTTAGACATTCAGATGCTTTTAAAAATACTATTTGAGGCCGGGCGCGGTGGCTCACGCTTGTAATCCCAGCACTTTGGGAGGCCGAGGCGGGTGGATCACGAGGTCAAGAGATGGAGACCATCCTGGTCAACATGGTGAAACCCCGTCTCTACTAAAACTACAAAAAATTAGCTGGGTATGGTGGTGCGTGCCTGTAATCCCAGCTACTCAGGAGGCTGAGGCAGGAGAATTGCCTAAACCCAGGAGGCGGAGGTTGCGGTGAGCCGAGACTGCGCCATTGCACTCCAGCCTGGGCAACAAGAGCGAAACTCCGTCTCAAAAAAAAAAAATATATATATATATTATTTGCCCTTTTTTACCACAGAATTCTAATGTTGGATTTTTTTTTTACCTTTAATAGACAGATGTACAGAAGATTTTGAGAAATGCAAGGAAACTACCTGAAAAAACACAGACATTCTATAAGGTGAGAGTGTGAGAATATAGTGGAAGAAGATGTGCCCAAAATATATAGTTTGACGGTAGTAAAACTGTAGGATGGCAGTGTGAATATGGACAGGCATTAGAGATGTATGACTTGCGCCTCAATTTTTTCAAATAAACTCAGTATGGCTGGGCACAGTGGCTCACACCTGTAATCCCAGCACTTTGGGAGGCCAAGGCGGGCGGATCACGAGGTCAAGAGATCCAGACCAGCCTGGCCAACATGGGGAAACTCCGTCTCTACTAAAAATACAAAAATTAGCTAGGTGTGGTGGCAGGCGCCTGTAGTACCAGCTACTTAGGAGGCTGAGGCAGGAGAATTGCTTGAACCCAGGAGGCGGAGGTTGCAGTGAGCCGAGATCACACCATTGCAGTCCAGCCTGGCGCCCAGCAACAGAGCAATACTCTGTCTCAAAAAATAAATAAATAAATAAAAATAAACTCAGTATAAGTGATGGGTCTGTTCCTTCCCTAAAATCCAAGAATTGTAAGGGTTTAAATGGCCTCATTCTGTATAGGAGGATGGTTTTTCTGTTGGGGCTGCTGTGAATGAATGGCTGAAGGAAGCAGCTGAGAGGACCTGTGGGTCATAATCCTGAAGTTTCCTTATCACTCCTAGATGGTATGCAGGCCAACCCAGGCAACCAATGTATATGGCTTCCCGGATGGGAAATTACCCAGAACATTGGTTTTTTTTTTTTTCTTTTTTTTAGATGGAATCTCATTCTGTCGCCCAGGCTAGAGTGTAGTGGCGTGATCTCGGATCACTGCAACCTCCACCTCACGGGTTCAAGTGATTCACCTGCCTCAGCCTCCTGAGTAGCTGGTACTATAGGCACATGCCACCACACACAGCTAAATTTTGTATTTTTAGTAGAAATGGGGTTTCGCTATGTTGGCTAAGTTGGTCTCGAGGTGATCCACCCGCCTCAGCATCCCAAAGTGCTGGAATTACAAGCGTGAGCCACCCTGCCTGGCCAGTCCAGAACATTCTTATTGCGCCAGAGAATCTGCTTCTAGGAATGACATCTAAAATTAGACATTTATGAATTGCAGAGGAGATGGCCCTCCAGAATCATGCGTAGCTAATCCAGAACCATTGGTGAAGAAACTATTAAGTTACAGGGTAGAGTGGGGAACATTTAGGTTTGCTCCTTGCTCCTATTGTTTTGGTGTTTGGCTGGAATTAAATTAAGTGCAGCGTCAAGTATGCCATTTGTGTCCTAGCTTTCTAATTCTAAAATATGGCCCACACAGCCATCCTCAGGCTAGCATGTAACCAGAGAGGATACGTGTGCTACTTTGTCTGGGTGTTTTCTCATTACCTTTATGTCACTGTTGTCTTCAAACCTAATTATGTAGTCAGCTGGTGAAATAAAACAGCTTCCATCAGAGTCCAGCCGAAGAGCTTCTCAGCTAGCCAGGCGCCTCCTGACTGAAGCCCGTAATCCACAGTCCATCCTTCCTGCCGAGCGTCCTACAGCCATCAGCTGTTTACACGTGATGACACACTTGTTTGGCCTTCTTCTGAACTTTCCACTTTTTTTAACAGATGATAGTATAAAGATGGTCAGAGAGCCCATTTCTCTGTTCTGGTTTTATATTACTTCTACATATTAGAGCCGCAAAGGGCCCAGGGAAACTGACTGCTTCAGCCCCTGCAGTGGGCAAGGAAAGGGTTATTCTGATTTCATTTGATTTTATATATATTTTTTGATGTGGAGTCTTGCTCTGTTGCCAGGCTGGAGTGCAGTGACACAATCTCAGCTCTCTGCAACCTCTGACTCCCGGGTTCAAGCGATTCTCCTGCCTTAGCCTTGCAGGTAGCTGGGATTACAGGCATGTGCCACCACGCCCAGCTAATTTTTCTATTTTTAGTAGAGATGGGGTTTCATCATGTTGGCCAGGATGGTCTCGATCTCTTGATCTCATGATCCACCCGACTCGGTCTCCAAAAGTGCTGGGATTACAGGTGTGAGCCACTGTGCCTTGCCCATTCTCATTTTATAAATGAGGACTTTGAGACCCAGAGAAGCTACACAACTTGCCCAGATCACTCCACTGAGGGGTTGTTGGGGCACTTCATATTTCTCTGCTTCTATCACTAACCAACCTTCCTTTTTGCTGGTCTTTCCACTGCCTCCTCTGAGCCTGTTTATTGTCTTAGTCTGAGGCCCTGCCACAGTGATATCAGAGGGTTAAGGGCAAGTCTTTTCCATCCCTAAATAATTGGGGAAAAGTACTCCTCCTTCAAGTTAGGAGTAACGAAATGATGGATACAAAGTGCTGACCACCACGTGTGGCGTAAATGCTCATTAACTGTGATGATTACTTGTGTTTAGTCAGCTCACTGTCTTCTTTAGCCATCTTCTGGTCACCTGTAGAGGAACCACTTCCTAGTTATACCATCACATTCTTGTTACTGGCATCCCTGAATAAACATGTTCTCATATAAAATTGCTCCCAAAAACAAAAAAATAACAAAAAATAAAAGAAAAATTGTTCCCTAAAGTTCAGTCAAGGAGAACTTATTCTCAGCTGAGCACTTAGAAAATCTGTGTTGAGAACACATTTCAGGAGCATTGATGATTTTCTGTCTTGTCTCAGGAGCTGAACCGTTTACGAAAGGCCGCTCTAGCCTTTGGTTTCTTGGACCTGCTGAAAGGGGTGGCTGACATGCTGGAACGGGAATGCACACTGCTGCCCGAAACAGCCCACCCTGATGCTGCATTCCAGCTGACCCACGCAGCCCAGCAGCTCAAGCTGGCCAGTACCGGCACCTGTGAGTATGCCGCTTATGACCAGAACATCACACCTTTGCATACGGACTTCTCTGGGAGCAGCACTGAAAGAATGTGAAACTGACTTTTGGAGTGCTCCTTTTTTCATTTCAACTGAAAATGATGTAGAGTAAAAACCTTTCCAGTATGTTCACCTCTGGGATAGCCACCCAGAGACCTTCCTGAGGCTGCCTCAGAAGCACCGACTCCACTAGCGTGAGAAGGATGTGAAGGTGGTTGGCTGATCGGGCTTTAACTTCCTGGGACTCACAGTTTTTAAGCTTGGAAGATAACTGCTGTTCCCATGATGGGCACATTTCCTGAGAAGCTTGAATGGCTGATGAGCATAGAGTACCCCTGCCTTCCTCAGGAAACCGGCAAGGGCTCTCTGGCTTTCCGAAAGCATCGCCTGTTCTCTCCAGTTTCTATCTCAACTGTTAAGGGCGTTCATGGAATGAGCACCTCAGACTGTCTGGAGGTTGCCGAGTACACACCACCACTTTCAGAACTTTCCGCAGAACTTGGGCAAAATGTGGTGGTAATTCTTAGAGGCTTCTGGTATCTCTTGAGATTCTAACTTTTAAAGGACAACCATTAATGTGTAAAATGAGTCCTGTTTCTTCAAGGTTTTTGTTTTTTTTTTTTAAATGAAAATATTTGATTTTCTATAAAATGGTTTCACTATGAAACTAAGGGTCCTTTATCTTTTGGTCTGTCCTATTACTTGAATATAATTTCAACTTCCTAAGTGGCATAGATTCTTAAATAATGAGGTTTCCTTATTTCTGACACTGATTGATTAGGCCTCATTGCCCAAGCAAGGTTCTGGTTAGATAATCCTGACAGATCACCGATTCCAAAGTTAGTTATGGTTCCCATTTATCAGCTAGCTTTATGACCTTGGGCAACTACCTGAGGCTTTATCTGCATCATCACTGTTTTTCAGCTGCACCACCTTCCATGTAAATCTCATGTTTCAACCAGAGCAACTGTTTTTGGTTTAACATGCTGATTGCTACATAATATTTTGCCTGAACACAGGACTTTCTACGAACAGAAAAGCATTAGACTAAATTATCTTTAAGCACAGTCAGTCATTAGAATTTGATTGTAAATGTTTTAATGGAAATACACAATTGTTCACTTTCTTAAACAGCAATAAAGGGGTTTGTAACAATCACTAAGAATACAGAATTCTGCCACAAGGATGCAGCATAATCTACTGCAAAGCTGATCTGCGCAATTACACATAGCTGCAAGAATACCAGAAATCAACACAAACAAGTATTGACAGGTGTTACAGACATGCAAAATATCCTTCAATGCAACAGTTTTTTAAGAAATCAGCCAGCCTATGTTAACAGATGTTTTAGTTAAAGTTTCCATCTTGGGCTCAGTGACATAGTATTAACTCACCGAGACTCCTTTCCCCCAGGAATGTTGAGAATGGCAGAACTGAAAGAGTTATCACTCCTTAAATTCTTTTATGCAAGTGTTGCTCCAATACTTATTTTACTTGGTTTACTTGGAATGTATGAGGGGAAACTGATGTTTTTTACAGTGGCCAACCGTATGTCTAAATTTTCAGTCCTCCTTTTTATGAGTTTCCTGCCAGAAATCCTTGTTAAAGGATCAGCAGGTGTTCACCCCAAAGTTCTCGCTGTTTTCAGTGTCCTACTGCAGATGGGTTTAAAAAGCCAGCTGAACAGCAGCAGAATGAAATGTGTTTTTGAGGTCTATTCACAAATGTACAGTCCTACCGCTCACTTGAACAGGTACACAAGTAAATGGGCTCAGCCAGTGCAGGAGATGGAAGGCTGCCATTTTGTATGTCTGTGAACGCTTAAGACAGTTTGGAGGTGTGTTTGGCCTAATGTTTCTAGTTTGTCAAAGGCTGTAAGCTGTGTCACTGCCACTTTTCATCTATATATTTGTGTTCCCTTTGCATCCCTGCTACCATTTGGACCTCGTGTGTGTGTGTGGTTTGGTTTTGTTGAGATAGGGTCTTGCACTGTCACGCCAGCTGCAGTGCAGTGGCACAATCTTGGCTCACTGCAGCCTTGACCTCCTGGGCTCAGGATCTTCCCATCTCAGCCTCCTGAATAGCTGGGACTACAAGTGTGTGCCACCACAGCCGGCTAATTTTTTTATTTTTTGTAGAGATAGGGGTCTCACTATGTTGCCCAGGCTGGTCTTGAACTCCTGGCTTCAACTGATGCTCCCACCTTGGTGTCCCAAAGTACTGGGATTACAGGTGTGAGCCACATTCCTGGCTGAATTTGGAACTTGTAATCTCATTGTTTTATAAAAAACGGTTCATTTTTCTTCAGTGTTGAAAATAGTTGATGTACTTAAAAATGGCATGATCATGATGTTCCAAGATTCTGATTAGTTTCTTTCAAAGCATTCTGTGCCTCTTCAATGCCCACACTGCTGAATACTATAGTAACAGATGTTAGGCCAAAGGATGTCAGATGTGAAACATGTTCTCTAGCCCCACTCTTAGAAATGTTTTATCAGTGACTCAGTCTACTTGATTTTCAAAAAGTCAGTGCCATCCCACTAAACAAGGAACCCCTTAGGCATGAATAATTACGCCCCGCCTGAGTCACTTTAACAGCCTTCTATAGAGTGAGATAGTCTTGCTTTTCTTCACAAGTCATAGCTGAAAAGAACAAATCTCAACTGTAAGAACTGTCAATACATTGTAGGGATAAAGCACTTTTTGAAAAAAAATCTGGCATGTATTACACAGACTGAACATGAGCTAGAGTTGGGGTGGGCTGAGCCTTTTGCTGTCATTAACTGAATACACAAGAATGAACCTCATCAGATATCAGGAATCCATGTCATGCAAGTACTACAATAAGATAACAATACATTCAGGAATGCTACTGGGGAAAAGGAAGATAGCCTCACTGAGGATTTCATCATTTAACATTAAAAAAACTTTTACATTGGTACAACAAGGTAAAACTCTAAAAGAATCAGATTAGGCTCAAACTGCCAAGAAGCCATCTAAATCTTTCTTTTTAGGTGACCTTTTTCTTTTTTTGTCCATAGCGCCGTCTGCGCTGTTTATAAAGGTGACGAAAATTTATGTATAACCCTGAAAAAGAGAAGAGGCCGATTAGAAATTACAGTCTTTGTCTATTTATAACCAGAAGCTCTTGTGGGAGGGGCAGTATCTAGCTGTCGTGTCCCACAGCAAAAAGCTACTGCAGCAGCTCAGGCAGGAGTACAACTTATAACAAATTAACAACGCAATACACACAACCCAGCTTTTCCCCAGTGAGTTGGTTTGTTTGTTTTTTTGTGACAGAGCCTCACTCTCACTCAGGCTGGAGTGCAGGGGCACGATCTGAGCTCACTGCAACCTCTGCCTCCCAGGTTCAAGCGATCCTCCACGACCACGCCCAGCTAATTTTTTGTATTTTTAGTAGAGATGGGGGTTTCACCATGTTGGCCAGGCTGGTCTTGAACTCCTGACCTTGTCATCGCCCACCTTGGCCTCCTAAAGTGCTGGGATTGCAGGCATGAGCCACCGCACCCAGCCAAGAAATAGCTTATGGTATATTCCCAATCACCAAGAGCACTTAAAGAGCATAATTTAACTGCTGGAGATTTAGAAAAGAAATACTTCCTTACCATAGCATATTCCTCTAGTGGGTCTCTTTTTGCAAAGTAATCATTCTCTAATTCTATCCTACTCTTCTGGAAAAAAATAATTCTCATATGGACTTTTAATTTCTGAATGATTTAATTCTACTCTCTAAGAAGTGACAAGAAAACGTCTGTGTTACAGTTCAATACTTACCTAAAAATATCATTATAAGATAAATCTGAAGAAAAAAGGAAAATCTAACTTTGATTTTCACTGGATATGGCAATGTGAAACTGAATCGTCCCGTCTCATTGAATATTGGAATGGACTGAATCACTGAGACAGCTGAAAACAGAAACAAGAACTTGTTAGAAGCAAATTAAACAGTCATATCTAATGACAGGACCTTCCAGCCCCTAGTATTCTAAAGTTTCAGTTCTGGGTTTGCTGGAAAGGCTTCCTCCTCCCTTTGTACAGAAAGTTCATGCCTCTTCTTTTTCTCCCCTAGTTTTCTAAGAGATCAGCCTCCAGCCTGTCAACAGAGAGACAGATGAGGAAGTCATGGCAGTGGGCTTCTTCTATTCTATAAAATGGAAAGAAAAATCCCTAGCTGACTTACGAGACGTTTGTCAGAATAAAATAAAGTTGTCAGTAAGAACTCCCTTTGGAATACTAAAAGTATCATATAAATGGGAAGCAGGCAGGATGTGACCACCTGGCTTACCAATGTTACAAAATGAGCTACTTTTCTGGAACAGTCTGAAAACCAGGAGTATTATGGAAGGAAGCCCATAGAAAGAAATCCCTGAAAAGTCCAATACTTCCATTTATCAGACTAAGGCTGGCAAAGGGGGGGAAGAATGGACTGGTCTCTCAGCCTCTGGGCACCCCCTGGAGCTAAGCTACAAAAGCTAAGAGTCCCTGAGAGTACCTTCTGCCAAACATCCCAGTGGATATATGGGAATCCACACAGTGTAACGAAGCCATGTGACCACCTTCCAATCCATGTCAACGCACGTTAGCATGTAGAAGGGGTACCTATTGAAAATAAATGATTCAAAAAAAAAGAAATGATTCTAACGTGAAAACCCACTTCAGGTTCTGAATGCAACCTTAGAATGTCATTTAAATAGAAGAATTATATTTCTCAGCCACATATGGCTTCTTCGGAACAGAACTGTAATGCTGGCTATCCACCTATAAACTCCCGTCATGCTGCACCCTGAATTTTCAAAGGATGTGAACTCTCTTTAACGGCAAACTAAGTTTAGGTCTTAAAGGAAGCTTCAGTACATGGACTGGATACTCAGATGTTTTTTGGCTTTATTCTGAGTTCTCATCTACATTCCCACTGGGTAAGGATATTCGGTACTTTATTTCTGGATAAATGAGTTATTACCAAAATTAAAGTATACAAAAGACCTCTAATCTAGAATCAGACATACTCTCTTTTAAAAGACATCCCATAGGAAAATAAATATTTCTTCTCAAACAGTAAACATTAACATTAAAGACCCATAATCTGATCCTTTTGTAGCTCCTAAAAGCATGGTAATTGGATTTTTACGCTCATGTGTCGGATGTGCTTCCCTCAAACCTTGTTATATCAGCACATTACTTGTCTGATTTTAAAAGCATAATCTGTTTTACCTTTGTATTAAGGTATTAGAGGGTACACTGGGTGCCATAGGACATAGACCATGGTTAAGACACAATTTAAGGCTGCTACGGCCTGTTGCCCCTCTCAACTAGCAACTTTGTCGAAATACCACCACACCTGGAGCTAGGAGTTCGTTTGCAAAATCCTTGCTCCAGCTGACTGAAAGAGAAGAAATATGGAGTATGTGTGGTCTGGTAAAGAAGAATACATCTATCTACTTTAACTGGATCCATTTCTTAAAAGATACTTATTCTACTAACAACTGAGAATGGGAAAATTAGGTCAGAGGCCCTTTCAAACTTCATTAGTCTTGTACTATAAGAGTCATTTCTATCACCGCTTGTACAAAGTTAGTCTCAAACTAGATCTGTCCAACCTGGATTGCTACTTCAACCTCATGTTTC